GAACCTTCTTTTTACCCCCTATGTATTTAAAGAAGGACTTCTTATTGTCCTTAATCTGGGAAGCTAGTCCCAGTTCCATCTCTGCCTTGGCCTTCCTGACTGCCCCCCTACATCCCCGAGCAACTGCAGTATAGTCATCCCTGGTGATGGCCCCTCCTTTCCATTGGGTGTACGCCTCCCTTTTAGCCTAACCTCAGATGTGTTAGGACTTCTATTATTCTTCTGGAATCCTTGCGCTCTTCCAAGAGACAAAGATTGTGCCCAGTCACTGTACAAGCAGGAGGGCATGGGAGCAAGGCACAATCTACACTGGAGAAGAACATGGGGGCCAGGTATACTCTACATAGCAGGGCGACCATACCCTGGTCTGTGAAATGCTTTGGGACCCTTTGGGATGAGAGACACTGAATAAAAAGCTAGTCATTATCAATCTGTGTTCAAGAATAAATGTGCCAGCTGGCAAAAACTTTCAAATGGCTCTTTAAAAAACACGTGGCATTTCTTTATTTTTAAACAAACATCTCTTTGTGCATTGTTTTTTTTTTGTCCCATTGCTTCAAAAGTTGGTTTAGAAAATAAGTGCTGTATTGCCTCCATTTGTTAGGAAGGTATATGTCACATCTGCTCACTATCACTCCTTTAATTTAAGATAGGAAAAACCCCACCATTTTGCCAAGTAGGTGACTTTTTACTATCAGCATAGTCTGGCTCAGGATTAATTTTCTCCCAGCAGTCAAAGTCATGATGAGAATTACAGAGGCAACCAGAGACATGAGACTTCCTCTAGCAGTTGCCATTCTTGGCTCTAGAGTTTCTGTTACTCAAGATAAAAGAAACATAAAAGAATCTTTTGAAAATCTCACCACATGTGATGATAATTTCCTTTAGTAATAATGTAACTGGTTTATTGCCCAGGGACAAAAGAAGCCATATGAAGTCATCTCTGAAATGTTTCATTCCTGGTGTTACTGGTAAGCCAGTGATGAGGAAGATGCATCTTTCCATATCAGAAAGAGATTTTGGAAAACCCAAAAGACTTGATCCTCTCCCACTGAAGTCAATGAGAGCTCTAATTCTGACTTCAGTGGGGACAGACAGTTAATATAAAAGGGAAATATATAAGCTAGGGACAGACATTACACATAAACTGGTTTCAGTGGTCAGAAACTGGTTTAAACCTGTAACAGAACAGATGTTCGGTGCAGATAAACTAGTTTGAAAATGGCTGAAACCGGTTTGAGATAAACTTAGTTGAATGCAGTATCAGACTTAAGTGATTTGGCTCAAATGAGTTTATGCAATGTCTGTCCCAGACCCCTTGCTAGTTTAAGATAAACCAGACACCCCCAGCATCCTGGCATGCTCCCTGGGCTGGGTGGGGCTCTTTGCTCCACAGTAGAGCTGCCCCCCCCACCCCGCTCCCTGGCTGGTGCTCTGGAGCTCTGGCAGAGTCTTGCAGGCACAGCAGGGTCTGCCTGGCTTCCCCCATCCCCTTCCCCACATTATTGTCAGACCCTGTTCTCCCTGAGCACATGGAAGGGAAGAACAAATTTGAAAAAAAAAGACCTTGAAATAAACATAACTGTAGCAATTTGCATATAGTACCCATAGACTTAGTTCACCTAGAAATAATGCATTTTACCTTTTTTGAAACTGCTGCTCTTTGTCACTGTGACAGAGCAGCTTTAGTGCTCTGTGACTTTAAGGGCTGGAGCAGGCAGCCACCAGGTGGCTGACTGCAGTGGCTCTTTTCAAACTTAGGCCAGAAAGGCAGCAGTCTGGGTTGAGCAGCCAAGGAGGCAACATCAGGCTGAGCTGCTCCTGGAACACTTGGAGGCAAGGGTGAGGCTATCAGGAAGGAAGAGGCCTCATTGGTCCTGGGTATGACTTGAAACTGCACCCTGCTGGAGAACGGTGGCCTGGTAGAGTTACTTGTGATGGGGTAGCTCCCCAGAAATGGCAGACCAGTTACCTCCCTGGTGAAAGGTGAGGAGGGGTGCCTGAAAACCCCAGCCCTCACATCCCTGGTAGGTTTGATCTACACAGGGGGAGCCCAGGCTCATGGGAGTCCTGAGGCAGGGCCCAGGTCAGTGGAGGGACCTGGAGCAGCACTCAGGCTCCCTGTGAGACCTGAGGTTGCAGAGGCCCTGAGAGGGAGCCAGGCACGGCTGTGGCCACCTGAGACCCACGGGGTGGAAGACCCCAGAGGAGCCCCAGTGAGGGGGAACCAAGGGCCCGTGAGCCCCGTATGTGGAGCCAGGGGCCCAGTGTGTGTTTGTGCATGTTTGTATATTTGTATAAAGGAAGAACCCAGTGCAAACCACTGGAGAGAACTTCTGCAAGACATGGGACACGTAAGGGGTGGTTGGAGCATGTAAACGTTGCCTCATTTCAAGTGGGGCACTCAAAGGGCAGCCTCCCACCTATTTAACATCTTGATTATTTAACAAGAAGGCGTGGCAGGAGAGCAAGGCGGGTGTTTTGCCCAAAGACAGGGGTGGGCGCACAATAGCACCGGGCCTGGAAGTCACCCTTGTTGCAGGCACCCACTTACTATGTAGTATAAACTTTTTTTTTAAAGAAAATGTTTCATGTCCAAAGTCAAATTATCCAGATCAGGTCCAAATCTGTTTGAATCATGCAAGAACCATATATGGCCCTGTATACCAGCAATTATCCTCCACCCCAGCCTGGAATGTCTTTTCAACTAGTTTCTTATCACTTTAACTAAACTTTGATGACTGTGATTATTTTTTATTACATATTTGTGACAGACAGCACAGCAGCATTTTATATGATAAAAAAACAGAGAAGGGAATAGTCATATCTTTTAATCTGCCAAGACCCTGACACAAAAACACATATTTGGGGGTGGACTCACAAAGACAGATGCTAAAGCTCAGGCCCTCTTTATATACTCACATTAATTTAGAGATCTAATTAAGTGACTGTGACTGCCCATTAGGTGGCTAGACATACAAATTACATTAATGATTTTGTGAACCCATCAGCACAAGGAAGGGTGGGCAAAAACACACCTGAAAATTAGACTCATGCTGTCAGCCTTCTTAGGCAAATTGTTAAAAGCCTTCCTAGAAAATACCATGAGCAAATCCCTCCAAAACTGAAAGAACTGGAAGTGCTGCAGTTGTTAATTAATCCATCTTTACCTGTATACATCTGGGGATACAGACAGGTCTAACAACTATATGATATCAAAGGATACCGATACAAGTTGTTATGAGACAACTGTTACGTCTGTATGATTCTGTAGTAATAAGAGTATAGTAAAACCAGTCTTGCCAAACTGCAATCTGAAAGTTATTACTTGGCAGAGCAAGTTATGTAACGTATTCACCTTCCTTTGCATATATTACCAAAGTCTTCGGACCTGACTGCTCTCACTTAAACTAGTGTAAAAAACACAATATTTCACTGAACTCAAAGTACAACTGTCGAAGGGAGAGCACTGGTAGGAGCACTAATTAATGAACTAAACATGACAGAATACTGAATAATTAGTGATATGGATATTTTCCTTTCAAGGTTAAATGTCCTTTGGATTCAGTGAGTCAGCGTTAAAATAATGTTGTTGGTCTTCTGGTCAACAGGTTTTGATTCATGCCATATTGGCTCTTTGGCCGAACTTCAAGAGAACTACAAATGGGATTTTAAAGAGCTGTTACCCGTAGCCTAACTCTGGTCTCACGGAGCTCAATAGATCAGAATTACCTCAAGATGGAAAACTCTGGAAAAATCCATTCATGTTTTGTTTTACTGTTAGAAAATGCTGTTCTATGCTTTCTTTGTTTCAGTGGGTTTTTTTACTGTTTTAAAATCTGAGAGGAATAAATACTGATATTGTAACTTTCCTGCTTTATAATATATGCTCTTCACAAATACGCTTTAAACAAAATTTTCCTCTGATGCTTGTGGGTTGCATGTGCCCAGGACATAGTGATATCTTCCCCTACTGATTTACCTACCAACTGTGTAAATCAGCAAAAGCAGCTTTGATCTTCTTCACTGAATTATCTACCTCCTCTTTGATCATCAAGCGGTATCTGGTTAGAGAAACAGTGCAACGCTGCAAATCTTTAACTGATTTTTCAATGTTTGGACCTAAAGCAAAACAAAAACAGTACAAACATGAGCAACTTGACTGCTGAATATTTTGGTAGAAAAAAACCTCTCAATGTTATTTTTGTAATGTCTTAAATAAAATTATGTACTGAAGTCAATAGAAGTTTTGCTAGGGACTCCAACAGTGCCCAGATTTCACTGTTTGTCTTTCTATGCTTTTAATATCCTAAAACATATGATGACATTCAGCCCCAAATCAAAATAATAAGAATGATCAGTATTGGACATTGACAACATTTTCTTACATTTGCAAATGAGTTTTTCTTTGGTAAAAGCATTTCAAATGGACTATAGATATTCCTGTTCATTCTAGTTATATCTCTTTTTACTGAAACCAGAACAATTTACCTAACACTACTGAAATTACCCTTGATTTAATGGAGAACTGGATCAGGCCCTCTAAATCTATGAAATCTTTCGAATGAAGTTGAGAAAAGAAAACACACTTACAGTTCTGATGTAGAAAGTGATACTACCCTACATTCTTTTCTTAATTAATTGCCCTCCTCCTCCTCATCCTACTACCAGTTCATCTAGCTGCAGTCCTCAGATTATGCACCACAAATCTGTTCACCTCATAGTTCAAAGAGTGATAAAAAATTACATTTACCTCTTTTCTTGATTGAATCATCTGCTTTTTTTTCAAGATGGGCTGCTGGGTTTGATGACTTAACTATGGATGCTTTTGACTTTGGCCTGCCTAGATTATGGTGAGGTTGAACTGATGATTGAAAAGTATCACACTGTTCTGTTCCATTTATAGACTTGTGGTTTAAATCCACTCCTACTCTTTTATGCTCTAGTCCTTTGTCTGCAAGAGAACATGAAATTATGAGTTGGGAGTTACAGACTATGAAAAGATTACGATTCATTGTTATTGGATCAGGATGGTATCATGTTTATACACTGGTAAAATAAAGTTTCTCTTTCACACACAGGCATTCTACAGAATCGTGAACTAGTAACAGGACAGAATTTGATTGACTCTATCATTAAAAACTGATCTATGTTTTTGTAATTCAGCAGTCTGAAGAAAAAGGATAAAGTGAACTGACTTTTCTGTACTGATATGGTAAAAATATCTCACCCCAGAAGCTATGTACTTCATTAATTTTAGCTGTTCCTCAAATACCTTGGGACAGAAGCAGACAATACAAGACTGCTATGCAGAACAAAGGAGTTTGTGTCTTTTTATAATTATCATAGCACATCAGATTACCCGTGTGATATTTCCTTGACTGAATTCATTTAGTTAAATCATAAGTGGCTGAAAACTGGGTAACAAAAAGGAAATAAAACAATGGCAAAGGTAAGACACCTGGATTCAATAGCTTCTGAGCAGTTAAGATAGAAGTAGCAACTGACAAAACTAAATGGGACGAAGTTTCCTGCAGTGCTCCCCTTTGAATGAGAAAGTGTGTTTTACCATTCTTGGGCTGAAAGCCTATAATCAAGGGGTCCCAGTTCACAAAGATGTTGGCATCAGGAAGAAGGGGTCACTGGCCAGGGAGAGGCCATGAGAGCTGACTGGCAAGCAAGGAAACAGACAGAAAGAGCCTGGTAAGAGTAGAGCACCCTGTTTCACTTAACTCGGGATGGGAATACACAGGGCCTATCTGAGCTGTAGATAAAAAAGTGAAGCTTAAGAACATTTGCATAAAGGACTCTTTGTTGTGTTAACCTGCATTCCAAAAAGCTGCATTCCCATTGCAAATTAAATGCTACTTTGTTTTAAAGATGTTCTTTTTCTGAATCAGCAGCTTCACTGGCCCCTGGAGAAAAAAATGCTTAGAGATGTCAAAAACAGTTGAAGTTACTGGATCAACATGGCTAGTAAAACAGGGCTGAGGTCCTGAGATCCAGTCTCAGGTTGGTTAGACAGTGTAGGTCACTAGAGCAGGGATAAGGAGCATTTTGTAGTTGGGGGTGAATTTTAACAGAGCTTAGCTTGAGTGCAGGGTCCTTCCAATCCAGCTCATGGTGCTGCCACAGCCACAGCCACCATTACCTCCAAGCAGTGCTGTCATCAGTGCTTATCCCTGGTGATCGGGTGCCTCACTGGCAAAGACCCCCACAGAAGCCCTCTAACTCCACAGGCCAGATAAAAGGCTCAAAGGCTGGATCCAGCCTGTGGGCCATAGGCTGTTGACCTTTGACCTCGAGCAAGGTGCAAGAAGCTAGGCCTATAATCTAAAGAAGCACTCAGCTGGGACTGAAAACAGCCTGAGATGTCTTTCTCTGTAACCATGACAATATCATAAGGCTGGAAGAATAAGGAGAAAAATCAAGTCTGCAACTCTGAATTCACAAAGTGGAAAGGGCAGGGAGGTAGATGTTTCTAATACTGAGGTGTGGTATGCAGAGCGTTCTGATCATTTCATTGTGCTTGTAAGGGATTGAAAAATGTATTGAAAAAGGAAAAAAATTAACACACGTGAAAATAGTTAATTTAGAAAGCTTGTATTTGTGCCTCAGCAAGCAAGAAATATCAGGCCTTCACAGTTATACCTACGCAAAGTGTAATGCATCTCAGTTCAGAAGTAGCAGCTGGCACTCAGGAGTAGAAGCCATGAGCTCCACCTTGACAGGGCTACATTTAACCTTGAACAAGTCGCTGTTTCAGTTACTATTCTTCACACAGCTTTTGCTTTAAAAGGGGTGCTCTACTGCTGGCCTGCAGGGCTCCTCACAGGTTGCAAAATTTGGCAGCAGGGGAGCAATGGCAATTAATACTGCTAACCTTCCCCTGCTGACAAATTCCCAAGCCCAGAATGGCCAGGTCAAAGTTGATCCATACTCCCTACCCCCTGTGGTCCCATTGGGGTCAGGCTGGCCCCCTCCCTCCATATGGCAGGATCGGGTCCTGGATGCCCCATCCCTCTCTGGGCAGCTAGATTGGGGTTCACTGTGCCCACCCTGCACACCAGATCTAGCTCACCAGCTGGATCTGACCTGATGACCGACTAAACACTGCCTATCCAGCCCATGGAGGAAAAAAGGTTAAGCCCCACTGCTTTTAACACAGCCTGTTTCTTACACAATTCAAGCCATTCTCAGTGATTAAGTAATTCTCAGCAGACAGTACCAGCTAGCAGTCCAGTGGGCAGAGAAGACAGAATCACCACTCCTGAGTTCTGTCCTCAGATCAGTCCCAACTTGTTTTGTGATCCTGGATATGCTACAAAGTGCTTTGAGATTTTGGTTTAAAATACAAAATTATTACCACTCAAGATATCTGGCAGTTTTGAACACTCATGAAAAAAATGCCAAATAAAAATCTTTCAACATAAAGTCATCTTGCCAGTGATTATAGTTTAAAAACAATTTTTACCACTAAGATACTTCATCTGTTATTTACCTCAGCATCATGTTTGAAAATGTCAAACAATCCACTTTGAGGCCCAGAAGCAAGAGGATCCATACAGCCAAGCAAACAACCGCTAAAACACAATTCAGCACAATTAGGGCAGATTGGAAGAGTTTGCACTGAACCCCTGAATGTACCAGCTACACAACACAAATCACTAAGATTAGGCACACAGATTCTCACAAACAAATGGAATATCAATGGCTGGTGTAACTAGAGCTAAAGATGTAAGCTTCAGTGGTGTTCAGTATTTCGGAAAGGTTTACAACACTAACATTTTAGTCTAAGATGTAATCTCCAATGTATTAACAGCTAAGCATTTATCAAGACCTGCCAGTAATGGGACCAGCCCAAAGAGACTCACTCTGAATCCCCAGGGGAGCTACCGACTAGGGAATGTGTGTTTTATCTTTTTATAACACCTTGACATTCAAAATCTAAAAAAAAAAAGTCTCGACAGAGCACTTTGCTGGAAGAGGAAAAGCTGTCTTGGTGGTTCGGGGGAATTAGCAGAATTCCCCTATATGAAAAACATAAAAGTGGGAATTAATATGGCATTTGTGTATTCAGTTCCACTTAAATCTATAAAAATACTATAGTGTGGCAAAGATGGTACCTAAATTCTCCTTTTAGTATTAACTTATGGGGGCTGAGTGGCTGAAAGAGCTGATATTTAACATTTTTGTAGGACATTCATTTAGATTGTGGAGGTTTCAGTACAATTGTTAACATCTATACCTTTGGAATAAGACCATGGAGGTCTCTAATTAATCCATAACTCAATCTTACATCTCACCTCAAAGAGAGCACCTCTGAGTACAGAAGCCCCCATGCCCCCTTTACACCATGTTTTGTTTAGTTATGTATTAGTTAAAACTACCCTCTACTTTGTCATCTGTGTCACTTCCCAAATCACCTGGTTTTACTTGAAAGCTTCTCTTTTGACTACTGACTTGGTATGGCTTTACTAAATCTGAATTTTTTGCAACACACCACTAGGTAGTAAGGCTGAGGAAAAACGCCTCTAAACACAATATTAGGTCACTTATTAAATTGGTAAGTTAAGAGGAGAAAAAGAAGTGTTCATTGGCTAAGCCTTTCCTATCTCTCTAAGCCTTTCTCTGAAAAGGGAAGCAGATGCTGCTTAGAATACAGAGCACTTTTAACTGTCCCCACATAATGCTTCAACTACAGTGGAATCCCCTAGTCCCATCTTACTAATGGTTCAGTTATAAGTACTTTAAGTGTACAAGGTCAAATTCTGGTTGCACAAAAATAAGACAAAGTGCAGATAGCCTATCTAGCATCCTGGGGTTTGGATACAATGAGTGCAAATCACTGGAAAGCATTATTTTACTATGTTTGAGAGAGGCAGCTGGTGCTCAATGGGTCAGGTCCTGAAGGCTCAGAGCAGCACTAATGGCGTAACAAGAACAGGTACATATCTGTCAAACTATGGTTCCTTAAGCTGTTGCAGTTTGTGTGGATCACAGTAGACACATAAGTATGCCATGTGCAGGAAGATGCATTTTTTCTGATAACTGCCTGTCAGGGTTCCAGATGCACTCTATATATCCTCATACTCCCAAGCAAATTCATAAAGGAATAGATGGCTTTAAACTGCCTTTACTTCCATTATATTTCAAAGCCCATGCTCTTGAGGCTTCTAAAAAGTGGGGATCTGTAGACTATAACATTGAGAAGAACCATAATTACTGTAGTTTCTTTTTCCATATATTCAAAGGGAGAAGCTCAGCAGCTAATTGACAGCAAGTGGAAATACACTTCAAGATTCTCTGCAATCAGAAAATTTGTCCTTCAAATATGCCACATAAAGTAAAAAAAAAAAAAGTGATAGTACCCCAAAACCTCGGTCCTGCCGAGGACACACAGGAAAGTCTAGAGCAGAGGTGCTCAACCCCCAGCCTGGGGGCAAGATCCAGCCCCTGGCAATGTCATCTGACACAAAGAGCTGCAGGCCACAGTGCTGCACACTAGATTAGGTGCACAGGGTGAGATTTTGGTATGTGAAGCCCCAGGATCCAATCCCAGCATGAGAGGCCAGGTGGAACTGGGACGGAGCCCCAGGCCCAAGCTCAAAGCATGGGGGCTGGTCAAGGCTGTGCTGGGCCTGATCCTAGAATGTGGAGTCCAATCTGGCCCATGGACTGGCCCTGTGCCACTCATCTGGCCTACAGGGCCAAAAGGTTGAGTGCCACTCCTCTAAAGTAATCCAATATATGCTAATTTTTCTCTCCTCTCCTATCAGGTGCAGCTTTGGGAAGATTAATAAGGGTGGCTTGCTTCAGGAAGAATTCTGAGACCCACCCCCCATTAGAGATAAATCCTATGAATGGTTTCAGCTACTTTTTATCTACAAAAGGATGTGTAAGGTAACCCAGCCATAACAGCTCAAAACCTTCTGACAGTCTGTGTGGAGGTAAGAGAGACTGTTTTGATGGCAAGGTGGTATATTGAGAACCTAATAGTGGTTCAAAGTGAGGTTCCATAAGCTTTAGAAGGATGTTGTTGAGACTTCACAAGGGAGTTAGGCCTTTGACTGAAGGTGTGAAGAAAAAGAAGAAATAGTGCTCAAGTGTGAGAAGGTAAGAGTACAACTGTACCTAAATGAGACACTGGCAAAGTGAACCTCACAGAAATTAAAGACTAATCCCATGCATTTCAGGAGCCTCACACACTGCAAGATCTTCAGCTCTGGAGCCTGCACTGCATCAACATGACGCTGAGTTGCCATGCAGAGTCCTTTCCATTCTAAGGTCTTTCTGTTGGAATATTTCCTGTATAAGAATTTCTTAACCTGTAGGGAGGTGTCTGTGTATCATTGTTGCTCAGCTACCCAAAATCCAGGCCATCAGAGTGCAACAACTTGGGGCTGAGCACAGTATCCCAAAATGTCAGTTATTACGTCCAAGCAGACTGGAAGGTATATGGGAAGTTATTTGGACATCATAACCCAGTACTGCAGGTACTCTGAACGGCAAATTTCAGACTATAGAGCTGGTGATCTGTTCATGTTAGTCAAAAAGGGGATCAGGAATAGCTCTGGAGATCTGCAGAAGATTTCAAAGAAATGGTATAACTTAAGAATAGTTATTCTGATTTACTTTGGATTTTGGTTGGGTCCCAGACCTCTCCCTAGACTGAAGGCAGGATAAGGGATGATTCAGGATATGTCTACACTGAAAACTTAGTATGCTAGGCAGCAGCAACCTTAAACATGCCATGCTTCTCTACATGTGCTATCTTCTGAACTAGAAGCAGCGTAGCCATGTTCATGTGGTACAGCACCTGGGCTAATTAGCAAATGAGCACTGTCATTCAGCAGAGCTAACTACCCTAGTGCAGCAGTGCCTGAACATGGCTCTGCTTCTCCCAGTTCAGGACGCAGCACGCATGGAGTAGTGCAGAATCATTGGGAACACTGATGCTTGATACAGGAAGTTTGTGCTGTAGTTTCCCTAGTATCAGCTGCACCAAGCAGGAACTAGTGGAACCTGAGAAGTCAGGCCAAGATTTAAGTGCCAAATGTCATTGGCGTAATTAGGGCAGGGTGACTGGGGGAGGGAAGAAGAAGGGAAGAGGGAGGGAAAGGGATGGAAAAAAATGGCTGTGTAGCAGCTGCTGAAAGTTGCCACTGGCTCATTTTGCAGCTGCGTCACTATGCAGCAGGTCACTAAAGGCCAGGACACATCTGCCTGTTGTGGCACGTAATGGCCAGAAAAATGCACAGCAAGGAAACCTGTCTTCATTCTAAGCCTTCTCCTTTATAATCTGCAGTCTGTTATAGCACAACTCTTGGTAAAAGGTGTTCTGCAAAAAAATAACAGCATAAGGCACCTTAGACAGAGTGAAACAGATTATTACACTAGAAGAATATCAGCAAACCTAAATTAGGGACAGTGAGCACCATGCTACTCTCCTCTACACCCCAATGGAAATACACACTGCAAACATCAGAGCTTAGGTATGACAGCACCCTCTGACACACACTGATAGGAAAAGAATAAAAAAAGACAAGGAAACACAAAACAAAAGAGACGTTAATACAGAAGGAGCATATTTAAAAGCAGTACGCTTAGAATGCTTGACTGAATTCTCAGCTGCTTTCCAGCACTTCAACACATATCATTTGTCTTCATCAGAAGCCACAGGAGTGTGGCAGCCGACCTCTAAGAGGTCACACTCAACATTTTGGCTCATACAGTTCTTCTAACTTCAATATATGTTGAGTGATACATACATATAGACACACACACAGAGCTTATTTGACCCTAAAATGCCAATACAGTATTGCACTTTTTCTATGGTGTAAACATAGAGCTTTTATTTTCTCATGCTTAAGTAGAAAGTGAAGTATAGGAGAAACTCTTACCACTTCAGAATTTAAAACACAAATTTAGAATAAAAATGTGACATCAATGTCATGTACTTCAATACCAAGACAGAAGAATTGTTACTTTTTTTTTTGCAATTCTAACATACAACTTTTCTGCATCAGGTAAGGGAGACACAAATATGTAACCCATTGTCCCACAAACTACATTATTAGTAACACATGCTCCATCTCCAAACAGCACAACTATTGTGCTCTATCACCTTTCAGAATAGTTCCTGGGCACTCAAGCCCCCCTAACATTCCGTCTTGGTCATGTATATCTAGGGCACTTAGGCTTTTCCAAAGGCCCAAGATAAACTTTCTAGAGCTTTTCAAAGAGGCAAGGGTAGTGCCCAGTCACTGTACAAGCAGCTGTGCATGGGAGCAAGGCACAATCCACACTGGAGAAGAACAGGATATTTTGCCCTTCTCCACCTTTCAAAATACCCATCAAGATAACAACTCCAAGACATCGACCAAGGTAGTTGGATATACTGTGGCAGATACTATGAAGAAAATAAAACACGGATATTTACATATTGCAGAATAAAAAATAATTATGTTAACATTATGGAGTTGTGGAATTTTGGGGGGAAAAACTGAACATATTGGTGAAATATATTCTTGGTAAAATATGAAAGAACAATTACTGAACCTCAGTCATTAATCTCTTTCTCAGACTACAGTTTGTTTATGATAATTAGTTGTACTCAGAAGTTCTGCTGGATTTTGTGTCTAATTGACCAGAGGTGGGCACCACCATCAAAGCGTTCTAGAAGCAGCAGAGAATTAATTTCAGGGCAACTATGCATGTAGGTTTGATATCATGAAAAATGGGCTCCAAAGAAAACTCTGTAATGCAATCTGCTAAGCTCTGAAACATATATTTGTCAGGCATATAATTTAAAATAAACATGAACTTGATGGAGGATGTAAAAAAAAGAATGGGAGCCATTCATCGAGTATTTTCCCCAGGGGATGCAGTTAGCACTGATGTTACAGAAAACAAACTTTTACATTAAAAAAGCCTCAGGAAAGAGGAATTTCAGATTTCATTATTGCCTCCAGCAGTTCAGAATCAGAATTCAAATCCTGGGTACAAAAAACTTGTCCAGTAAATGAGAAACTGACAGATTGAATCTCTCACCAGTAGGTCCAGAAACTAACCCCAGTTAAATTCTGGGAGTTTTGCTGCCATTAGCATAGGGAGAATCTCTAGAGAATACAAATAACACCGGAAAGGGCTCTTGGAATGTTGCACGTTCCAAGACACCCCTAAAATCCCAATCACTTTATCTAGTTTGGGGATCCTGTTCTGTCTCCCTCTCTGTCTCACCATAGACTTTTCTGCTTCTGCAGTCTGTTACACTGCCTGATAATGAGGCAAACCTAACAGTCCTTTTTTGCTTTTGAGATAAGAATGTTTGAATCTCCATAGTGCAAGGAGAATTTTACCTGCACCAGGGTTTACCTGCTTGGTTTTCCTTACAAAATGAGGGCCTTTATCCAAACACAGCTGCCTAATTCATTCTTTTAATTCAATTTTACAAATAACATTTTTTGCAAATACGCTGACCTGTGATTTCTGGATGCATCTGCATTACATCTGCAAATCCTGGGTTTTTGTCCTCATGAGACATCATTTCTGATTTCTCATTGGCAGAGTCACTTGAAGAGTTATCTTTATCACATCCATTCAAATGGCAGCCATATATCCCATGGGGCTCTAGAGATACCTTTTCAGTTCCATTATCTTTATCTTTAGCATCTTTATTGCCTTGATACTGTTTAGATTTGCTTCTTTTTCTTTTATTGTTCTAAATTGAGAAATATTGGGAGATAAAAGACATTATTTAGCACAGGTCACAACCTAAAACAAAAGCAGTAAACTGTCCATACTCTTTAGTTTTGAAAAATGCCTCATAAATTATATTCCCTGTAACAACATTTACAGGCTATGATATACCATGCAATACAATGCATCTGTGTGGCTGGCTGTCTAAATAGTTTGAAAATATGAGTGGGATTTGCAACCCTGAACAATATTCTTTTCTCTACATATAATATTTTTATTTTTAAATGATAATAGCACCTGCTCTGAATTATGTTGCTGCCCCAAAAGGTTGTAGTCAGCCTAGCTAAGCAGTCTGCAATTGTCAAAGACAAACCCACAAAGCACTAACCTAGTTACATGTATAATTCCTTGCAGAGATGACCCTAGCAGGGTGCAGGGCCTGGGGCAAATCAGTCTGTGCAGGGCCAGGATGCAAAGAAGCCGGTGGCGGCGGGGGGAGGCAAATGGCCAGACGTGAAGCCATCAGCAGCAGCAGTGCAGTCACCAGCACTAGGTGGGCCCTGCAGGAGGGGCCACGGCTGCTCCACCTGACATCATGAGGCCCCCCAAACTGCGGGGCCCGGGGCGGTCACCCTGATTCATGCCCTCCCCCGGAAGTCCCTGTTCCTTGAGTGATGTGGTTACTTAGTATATTTCCACTGGCATTTTATCATATGTTTGAAATAAAACCAGTGGAACTCCTAGTGGCAGGTGATCAAGAGAAAATCTATGGGGCAGCAGAAGCTGGCTTATCTTTTTGTGGCTCTCCCTGCACCCCACGGACAGGCTGCTCTGCACACTCTCCATAACAAAAGTCTCAGAAAAGCAATCGGGTGGTAAGGGGCTGGCCTAAAGGTCTGGAGCATGACCTTCATGCTGATGTTACATGTTCTGACATGATTAGGATCCTTATCCACACACCCCAACACAGATCATTCATGGATGGTATAACCTGCTATCATGCATGGGTGGTCGTGGAAGACTGTAAATGGCAGTTGCCAGCAGAAACACAAGCGCACACTAAAGGTATTTTTGCAGTGTATGTATGTTATTTGGGGAAGATTTTTTTATTTCTAAAGCCTGTTTTCTATGTGTGAACCCAGCTGTCCAGAAAACTCTATAACAATAGGAGATGAGAGACATAACAACAAAAGAGCTGGATTACAAAATAAAGCACAAATTTACTTTGAAGCTTTTGAATACACATGTGGATTGAGCCATTTATCATGTTAGTAAATGAACACAAAGGTTTGGCAATACTCATACTGCTTAACACCACAGAATGCTGATGAATGGTGTTAAATGTTTTAACTGTCAATAGTGCATCCTTACCTTTTTTTTCCCTGTCATATTCCATTCTTTTAGAACCTGAGCTGCACTACCTAGAGTAGGAAAAGATAAAACACTTCAACAAATGTTCAGCTGCGATAAAGGACAGTGCTTAAAAATTATTCCCAGTCTCCTTATTAGGCAATGTGTCCACGCAAGTGTTTCACATGTCGGAGGAACAAAATTATAACTACTATATTTACACTTAGTTTTCACGGATTATCATATTCATTGGATTTATAATACAATATTATTATTTTTTAACGTAATGTACCTGTATCACTATGTGATCATAGTGATTTTTCACTATGTGATAAATATAGCGATTCTCATCATTCGAACTAGGAGAGTAATTAAGATTGCCTTAAAAATTCTCTATTTAAAACATCATTACACTAGGGAAAACAGTTACATTACTTGTCTTTGGTAAATGGATGTTGGTGTCAGAGGGTTTGTGTGTAGAATTTTCTGTTTTAAAAGCACTAATGCTTTATATCTAAACTACAATATGCATGTTGCTTAGCGGAGGTGCTTTTTATAGTTCTGATTCAATAAAAACACTCAAGAAAGTATGTGTAAGTCCAATTGAAATCATATGCTTTACTATATAGGGATGTCTTTAAAGGTAAGGCAGAAGGTAGGGTAGATTTGCACCTTATTGTTGGCAGAGGCAGTTCCTTGATACAAGGATGAGAGTCTTCCAGTAAAAAAGGAAGTCATTAGTGATAGATGACTGAGGAGGCCTAGCCAAGATCTGCACATTCAATTGCAGATGTAGCAAGTAGGAAGTAGATGATCCTGGTGATGTTGGGTCACAGCTCCTACCATTTTGTCTCTCTCTTCTATCTGCCTCCAAAGTGAGGTGAGTTTGTTCAAAATGATCAATGCCTTATCATACATCGTGGTGCCACTGATGATGGTTTAGTGCTTGAGTCTCCCCACTGTTGATGTTAGCATTGGATTTCTTCTGACTGGCTTTCAAAGTATCCTTGAATTTCTTCTTTGCTTACCTCTAGAGCAGTGAACATTGGTGAACAGAGGGTACAGGACCTGTTTTGGTAGTCAGTGTCGCAGGGCACTAGGGTGTCCTGCTCCTTTTAAGGGCTGGAACTGCAGTCAGTTGGGAGCCCCAACTGCTGTTTGCCAGGGCAGCCAGGATGACCTAGTGGCCCACACCTGCCAGCGGTCAGCTGTCCAGAAGGGGCAGGGCCTGGCTCATATATAAACCCCAGGGCTGAAGCCAGGAAGGCAGCTCTCTGACAGCAGCCAAGGGGAAGGAGCTCTCCCAGAGGAAGCAAAGGGGAGAGGCCTGTCTGAAGATTCAGCTTCCAGTACTGTTGAGGGACAGAGCACGCCCTGTGTGGCTCGAATTATGTTATAGCTGGGTGGCTTGAGTTATGTTATAGCTTTGGGGCTTGCACGTTGATTTCTGTTTATAATATCGGTGGTCTGGGTGAGGCTATTTGGGGAAGGAAGAGGCCTCACTGGGGGCCCACTGCAGTGTGGGGACCCTGGTGCCAGTGACAGCACAGCATTTGGGGTGCACAGACCCCGGTGCCAGCGAGGGTGCGGCATTTGGGGGCTGCAGAGAGCCCAGGCACCAGTGAAATGCAGAGACAGCACTGCGGAGAGCTCAGAGAGGACAAGGGGGCCAATTCATACCAAGGCCCAGACTGAACAATGTCAACACCATCTGAGGCTTGGGGCATGGTAAAGGGGCGGTTGGAGCCATGCATATAGCCCATAAGGCTGGGGTGTCCTGTGACATCTATTTTGAAGCAGGACCCACAAGGGGTCTGGGAACCCATGGGGTTCAGAGAATCCAGTAAACCATGTCCAAGAGGACTTAAAGGCAGCCTCCCTTCACTATAAATCCATCAAGATGTGGCGGGCGAGAACTGAGGGTGCCCAGCGGGTCAAATTGGCACGGCTGAGGGGCCTTAGGGGTAACACGGCCATCCTTAGGGACCCCGTCCTGTGACAGTCAGTTGTCAGGCATTCTTAAGATGTGCTGTTCAACAAAGTTGGTGCCATATGAAGATGTTTTCAATGCTGATATGGTTTGCTTGAGCCAGAATGCCTGCATTCATGCATCTGTCTTTGCAACTGATATGGAAGATTTTCCAAAGAAAACAGTGATAGTAACGTTCTAAAGCTTTCAGGTGTTTCTGACACATTGGCCAAATTTCACACCCATATCCAGTAACAGGGTAGAGATGACACTAGCTTGGTAAACAAGAAGTTTGAGTCCTGATGTTGTGATCATCAAACACTTGCTTTCAGAGAGGTCCAAAGGCATCGCTGGCAATTTTATTCAGCGTTGAATATCACTGCCTACATTCACTTTTTGGGAAAGGGTAGAAAAAATGGAAAAGAGCATTGGTGCAATCACACACCCTGGCTTGGCTCCAGTTCTAATAGTGAACAGATTAATTTCTGAGCCATTGTTTATGACAGCTACTGCCATGCCATCATGAAAGAGTCTGATAATGGTAACGCATTTTGGCAGGAATTCAAATCTCATCAGGATCTTCCACAGCAATTCTCTGCTTAGAGAAACCAGGGGTGGCCAACCGGTGGCACAACTGCCACCAGTTGCACAAACAGCCTGTGTGTGTGTGTGACAAACAAACAGCAGTCAGAGGAGGGGACAGGCAGCACAGTGACAGACAGGACAGAAGAAGGTACTGAAGTGATATTTGGGGAGGTTGTAGGGTAGTTTGTGGCATGCATACCAAAAAGTTTGGCCCCCACTGTTATAGATCAACTAAATCAGAGATGTATGGCAAGAAGTTTTGTGAGCCTGAGCTCACTTCCTCATGAACGGTGTTAATATTCTAACTCTCAATTTTGAGTCCTTAACTTCCTCTTCCTCATCACAGGCCATTCTTTTAGAATCTGAACTTCACTAGAGTTTCTCTATAAGGTGAAAATCTACCCTGCTTTATGTCTGACTTCACACTAACATGGCTAGCTACCTCTCTCAGATCACTAAAAGGTAAGTTTGTATTAGGTGGTTTTACTGAATGGGGGCCTAAGATGAGTAACTAGGACTCTTAAGATGGAGGCAACTACTGAAGAGGTGATGGTCTGGTTACATGGCCACAGCAGGATTGAGCCCAGTACCTGCCTGTTGTTCCCACTGCAGGCTGACGTGAAGGGTGGTCTCCAAATCCGGTGCTCAGTGCGGTTGGCTGGGGAGCAGTTCCCCAGCCCCCTGGGTGTCTCGCTAATGTCTGGGAGCATCCATAGCACAAACCCTTTGTTCCAGTAGTCTTAGCGGTCAGCCACAACTGCTGCTACGTGGTACAGGAGTGGCATATGCTTGGGGCAAGTGGTGTAGGTCACTGCATTATGAATAAGGGCACCATCTATGGGTACCATCTTCTCTCTAGGCAACTAACAAACATCAGCCACATGATGCAGTGTTGGTGAACCCTCGTCAGAACTGGGAATGGCCAGCAAGATTGTCTGTCAAGCTCCCTCGGCTGGAGGTGGTACTGATGGCCTGCACAGGGTATTAAACATTAACATCATCTAGACTGGCTGTGCGTTGAGGTTGAGGAGCTTCCACAGCCTTTCTGAAAGTCCATTAGGTGGCACTGTCCAGCTCTTATAGGACAGGTGACAATCACTACTGATGCCCCTTAAGGCCTTCAATCTGAAACTGGGTGCGATAGGCGGCCTACTCGGGGCCAGGTCTCATCCTCAGTTAGCCTACCTGCCTCTGGGACAGTCCACCCAGTCTCACCTGCCACGGCTTGCTGTATAAATAACAATGTAAAAATGTGGGAGGCTGCCCATTTAATGCCCTGATGCCTAGCGCATTATACACAGCTCCGACTTTTCCTATACTGTGTTCCATGCCTTTCAGATGGCATCCAAAACAAGTTCTTAACTTTGGACCCAAACTCAGCCACACCACATCTGAGGAATTACTGGGGTCTCAGCCTCTGGCTCAACTGTAGCCTCAGGTGTCCGTAGACTTACTCTAGCCATTCTGCCCCCTCCATGGGGCTTCAACTAATAGCCTCATACTAGGGCCTTCCACCTATGCCCTTTCACTAGGGTTCCTACTCATGCTGACACACTTGTGGGGCTGGCCCATGTGCAGCCCTTCAAGTTGTCCCTTCAACCCTACTCTGCATGCCCCTGGTGCAGCCATTCAGGGTGCCTCTGCACCCCTACTCTACACCCATCACGCACAGCCCTTCAGGCCACCGCTTCACACCCTACTCTGCGCAGGCCTCTGCACATACTCCTTCACTGGGGCCACTCTGTTGCCCCCTCTCATTGGGGCCACTGGGATCTTATACACCATGGGGCTCAGGTGCCTCTCTCTAGGCGTGCCTGGCCCCTGTGCCTGGCCCTACAATGGGGTTACCCACTAGGATGTGGGAGCTGGGGCATTTAAGGCACCTGTTACTCATCTTTGATTGAGGAGGCAACTGGCCTGGCATTTCCTGGGGACCACCCTGCCACGGGCAGACCCACCACACCACCCTATCCCAGCAGGGTGTAGTTTTCGGTCATGCACAAGGACCAGGAGCCTCCTGCCATCCCCATAGCTCCTGCCCTTACCTTCAAGACGTTGTGATCAGCAGCTCCAGCTGGGTGGCGTTCTCTCCATGGCTGCAGCCAGCAAACTGCTGGCTCCCCTGAGGGCCTGAGTTAAAAATAGAGGCTGCTCAGCCCCCTCCTCCTATCACAATGCCCTTCTGCAGTCAGGTGACCACCTCATCAGGGCCGGCCTGCACATGTCAGCTGTACTGCTGCCTGTTCTCAGCCCTTAAAGAGGCAGGCACCAAAGGTGCCCTGCCACATTGGGATTTGACGGATGCCCAAGCTGAGGTCAGTGCTGCCTCAGCTGACCAAATGGGCTAGCACCATGGCCATTCAAGGGATTCATGGCCAACTAGGCCATCGTTCCCCTCTTAAGGCCACCAGGAGGGACAGAGTTAACCAACACTGAGATAGAAGTGGTGCTGACTAATTTGCTGTATTGTCAAGGCATCTCAACCCTGCCTTGCCTCCCATGGCAACAGGTTTCTGA